GTCTTCCATTGCAGCAGGTGCTGTACGTTGAGCTCTGGTCCAGGAACAGCTGTCCGAGCTTCAGTCATCTTTGTTTCAGGTGCCTGTTCATCCTTGCGGCCGCTTTCCTTTATGTTCACCAGGAGGTCTCTTACTGCCAAAAGTCTGATTTTACCTACTAAAATGTGGGCGCCAATTGTAAGAGCCTGAGATGAGAGATGTGGGACATCAGGCAGCTCTTAAAAATGCTGTTTATTGTATAGAAGATGTTACAGCAGCCATGGGTCGTAGGTAACAGAGCCACACCTAAAGCTGCCAGCTACAGCTTATAGGCAAACCTGAAGCCGTTTAGTTCTGGTTACAATGCATTATATATTTTTCTTTGCTGAGCATCTTAATAGATGACAATCAGCATCATACACAATACCATTACCTATAGCCTATCATAACTACTATCATTACCATATTACAGTCATTACTATCCAACCACATGAGTTAGTATGTTACAGTTTAAGCTTTGTTTTTCAGTTTTCTTGTAGTGAAAAATTCTTAGACCTTTTTTCTACTTGCTACATTGGCATGTTTGTTTGCCTATGGTATCTTCTGCTTTTCCTAAGACCTATTTCTGCTTGGTAAAAACATCTTTTTTGTTTGTGGTCAACATATCCTTTGCTCTAGTCATAAAACCTCCTTCCAGCTTGACTTAACCTTTGCTTCTTTAGTTGTCCTGTAATGACTGGCTCAGTAATTCTTAATTTAGACATCTATTATTCTTCTATATCAAAACTTGCTTCTATCTCTATTCCACTCTCAGGTTCTACATTCAGAGAGCTTTTATGCCAAGCATACATATCTGTCAAACTTTCATCTTTCCCAACAGTTCTTGCATGTGCATGATCTTTGCTTTTGCTTTATTCAACTCCCTTTATCTTAACCCATGAGGTTTTTCCATCCTATTTTCTCCCCTCTTTGTTCTGCTGAGGAGGAGAGTGATAGAGCAGCTTGATGAACAACTGGCATCCAGCCAAGATCAACCAACCACAAGCATCTCTGGTTTTATGCTTCAGGGAAAAAAAATCAGGAAGCTGGACAGTGCTTTAAGTTCCACTACTGCCTGCTTGTAGTATTATTTAATATGTATAACCATAATAAGATACAGAAAATTGAAAAATAAATGGAAAAAAAAATACCTGCTTTATAGGGAAAGTCAGAGGCTGAGGGGGTATCTCCCTCTGTGCCAGTGACCAGCTGGAGTGCATGGAGTTCTGCCAGCTGGGCTTCAACCATGACACTGGGTATGGATGAGGAGCTGACTGAGAGCTTATGGGTCAGGACTGAAGGGAGGGCAGGGACAGGGGATGTTATAGTGAGGGTCTGCTACAGGCAACCTGATCAGGAAGACCAAGTGGATGAGGCCCTGTAATGACAGGAGCAGCCTCATGTTCACAAGCCCTGGTCCTCATGGGGGACTTCAACCATCCTGATGTGGACTCTGAAAGTCTGGTCAGAGAAAGAGTCAGATAAATTTTCCCAGGCCTTGCTCTGGAAAGTTTTGAGAAAGCTCAGAGAAAAAATTAAAACAATCCTTAATCTTTGCAGCTGGTGTTTTGAATGTGTCGTTTTCTTGTAAGATGTTTACAAGAAGGGTGTTGTTTCTAAATAGCCAATGGTGTGAGGGGTGTTGATTAAGGACCAATCAGGTCCAGCTGTATCGTAACTGTCTATAAAAGAATGTGTGGTGTCTAATAAACTCGCATTTGCCTTCTGAGACCTTGGAGTTTATATGTTGCTTCATTCACCCATCCCTAATACAACAGCGACACCCTGACATCTGCTGAAGGGACAATACAGCATGGCATAAGGAATCCAGGAGGTTCCTGGAATGTGTTGGTGACAACTTCCTCCTCCAAGTGATAGAGGAGCCAATGAGGAGAGGTGCTATTCTGGACCTTGTTCTTGCCAACAAAGATGGGCTGGTGGGGAATGTGAAGCTCAAGGGCGGCCTTGGCTGCAGTGACCATGAAATGGTGGAGTTTGAGATCCTTAGGGCAGCCAGGAGGGTGCACAGGAAGCTCACTGCTCTGGATTTCAAGAGAGCAGACTTCAGTCTCCTTAAGGGTCTACTTGGTAGAGTACCATGGGATAAAGCCCTAGAGGGAAATGGGGCTCAAGAAAACTGCTTAATCTTCAAGGATCACCTTCTCGGGTTCCCTCTGGTTGAGATGATCCTGAGGTGTGTTGAAAGTCTCTTTTCCCTAACCCAGCTGTCCGAGAAGAAATCAGACGTCTTCAGCTGTCGTTCTCAAGGCTGTTTATTATTTCTTATCTAAAACAATTTCTGTCTGGCCTGCCAAGGTCTGTTCTGCAGGTCAGTCTGAGACACACTCTCCGCCCACGGGGCTGGTGTTGTCTTTTATACTACAAACTACGTATTCGATATTTACAGTTATTTTCCAATACCTATCACCTATGTTAGACAGTGACTTTCTATCCTAAACCAATCCCAAAATGCCACCATCACCAAGAAGATGTAGGCTAGGAAGGAGAAGGAAGAAGGACAGGACAACACCCAAATCCCTCCATCTTGTCTCCCTAGACCCCCATAGAAAAATTCTTTAAAATTTCACCTTTCACCCTGTGACAACTACTGTTATGCTACTTAAACTTTTGTGACTTTTAATGCTTCATATAAGGTTGGTAATTTGCTCCATGGGTCGAACTCAAAGCCACAGGGCTCTTTGGCTTCCTGTCAGGGTCTCAGAACCCCTGCCAGGGCTTTGAGCCATCCAGGGCATCCAGAGGGATGTCCTGGGTTCTGACATCACCTCTTCCAAGCTCAGGAGTGATGCATCTCAATAAAGAGGAAATCAGGCAAAAATGCCATAAGATGCATGGATGAACAAGGAGCTCCTTGACAAACTCACACACAAAAAGGAAGCCTATGGAGGGTGGAAGCAGGGACAGGTAGCCTGGAAGGAAGAGGGAGAGATTGTCTGAGCAGCCAGGAATCAGGTCAGGAGAGCCAAAGCCCTGAGAGAATTAAACCTTGCTAGGGACATCAAGGAAAACAAGAAAAGCTTCTATAGGTACATGGTTGTTTTCCAAATGTCTACCAGTAGTTGTATGCAACTGCATGGAATTAAATGAGAAGTTCTACAGGGATTGAGAGGCTAATCCTCAAATAATATGACACAAACTAATCTCTTCCATGAAGGTTCAGTGGAACCCATCTATTTTGTATTAAAAGTGAAATAGCTGACTGTAGAGAAATGTTCTTATTGTAGCTATTTGCATGGTATCCTCTTAGTTGGACACTGGGACCCAGGAAGGAGGATATAACAGGTGAATGACTGGCTGGTGCTGTGTTCAAGGTTCTGGGTTCTATGATCTTGGATGCACCTTTAAAAGACAGGGCATATTGACACCTGGTGGGGCACACATGACCAGATAGGGAAAGAGTGTTCTGGAAGCAAGCTGTCTGGACTTATTAACAGAGCTTTAAACTAGATTCAGCGGGGGAAGGGAATGTACTTCTGAGTGTCAGAGAACCAGGAAACACCAACACTTTAGGAAGCAGGAAGGAAATACCTGTAAATTGCCCCAAAGGACTTTTTTGCCTCTGTCGGGGTCCGCTGTTATGTGTCTCTGCCCCGACACGGGGAGAGGTGGTTCTGGGCGGCCGCGATTGCAAAGGATGAGTCTGGACTCTCAAATTCTCTGTCTTCAGTCTTGTTTATTATCTCTTATCTACAATGCTTTCTCTCTGTTCAGCCGAGGTCCGCTCAGCAGGACAGTCAAGTGCACTCTCCCCCGCCCACAGGGCGGTTGTGTCTTTTATAGTAAAAATTACGTGTGCCATATTTACCTTTATTTCCCAATACTATTCACCCTTATAGACAAGTGTACCTTCACCATGAACCAATCCCCAAGTGCCAACATCACCACACAAAATGGAAGACATGAAGAAGAAAGAAGAACACAGGACCACGCCCTGAATCCTCCATCTTGCCTTCATGACCCCCCTGTACCTATTTTTCTAAAATTTATATTTCCCTCCATAAATGTACCATTCACACCCAAGAAGCTCCCATTTCCTCCTTCACAGGTTCTTCTCCTTTTGATGGATCGAAATCCAACCACCAAACCCTTTTGGCATCATTCCAGGGTTTCCGAGCCCCCCAGGGGCTCCCCTGGTGTCTCTGCACATCCACAGTGATGTGCTGAGATCCCACATCTCCCCCTTCTGTTTGCACCAAAAGCACCCTCTTTGTGACTCGACCCATGACTTGTCTGATAAATAGAAACATGCATGGCACTACGATCAAAAGAACAATGAGAACTATAAAAATTTGAAATCCTATCTTCAAAAACTCTCTCCATAAAGGAGAAAGGTCAAAAAACTTCACCACATCATCAATCCAAGATCCCGTGATTTCACCGAGTTTCTTTATGCTATCTTCAATTTTTTGTATATTCTCATGAATCGACTTTGAATGATCGGAAAGATTCATGCAGCACATTCCCTCGAATTCTTGACATCCATGTCCATGAGCTAGCAACAAATAATCAATTGCCGCTCTGTTCTGCAGAGTTGCCTTTCTCACACTGTCCATGTCTTGCAACATGTCACTCAGTGCAAGAGAGACTGACCTAGCATGTTTGCTCAACCAACATCCCATGTGGTCCAGTTGAGTCAAGGCCACCCCCGACGCTGTCTGAGGTGAGAAAATTGCTGTCGCAATTCTCCTTGCCTTGTCCCAAGTGTACACTTCATCATCACAATTCTCATCATAATGTTTCAGCGATCTTTTCTCTCTGCGCTCTTGTTCTTTTTGCCATTTTGAATCTGGTGACAACATTGAAATTTTTCCAGTGCTGCATGGACCTCCTTTGGCATTTGAAGGAATGCCGTGCCAAATTCTGTCTCCACAAATCAAAAAGAAACCTCTCGGTAAATGCACCAGAACCTGGAGTGCTCCCCTAGTTGTTGTTGTGGTGTTTTTTACAGTGATGTGCTGAGATCCCACACAGTCCCACTCTTTTGGTGCATTTTTTGGTGGTTCTCCCTCTAAATCATCCACTTTGTAGCCAACACCAGGAAATCGGAGATTTTGAGGGGCTAAATTGTTCCAGATGAGACAACTTCTTCCTTAGGAAGGGTTTATGTTGGGTGGATTATGGGATCAACCAAGACTTTGGCTGGGATTCCCACGCACCTCTGGGTTGTTCATACGCGCATTTGGAGCAGACTTGAGGATCCTTTGGATACTGCTGAAGGAAAAACCCTCCCATTGTCCCAACTTACAGCAGAAATTATCTGTCCTCCACCTCCCGATGGACACACCAGCAGCCTGGCATGTGGTGGTGTAGAGGGCAATGATTGGACACATCCGTTCTTCCTGATCAGGGAACAGTCAGGAGTCATGGATGCAGCTCTGGAAGTACTGGTGGCCATCAACATGACCATGACATGCTCTAAAGGGTCCATCCACTTCCAAAATAATTTCACACCCCATCCCAGAGACTTCCTGCTGCAGCCAGGAAGGTGCGAGAGTGCTGGAACATTCCACTGTTTACCTCTCACCACATCCTGGGACATCCATGACCTTCCAGCTGCTCCCAAAGGCATCTGGGTCTGATGTCACATGGTTGTTCCTCATCATCATGTTGTTTGCTGGCAGCACCAATGTAGTTCCTACAAAGCCCACACAGGGGTTGGCAAAGCCATTTGGCAGTGACGTGGCTGTGCCAGTTGTAGGTGACAATAAGGCCAAAATTGGTCTCTACCACCTGCCCATTTCAATAGACAACAATCTTCCTTTCACTGTGGTGATAAGGGAGGCTGACCAACTGTTGCATCCCAGGAAATGAAGAGGATGCTGAGACTGGGATGCTCTGGGAAGACACTCATCTTTAAGACAGGGCGACCCAGTGATATGCTCTCCCACAGTTCCTTGCCTTGTTATGTTAATGATCCCACTTACATCACTCCAGTTCTCCTCCCCAGTTCCAGAATGTTCCTCACTCACATTTATCCCATTCATCCCCATTCCTTACTACTCCTCCCCTGATTCCCAGTTGGTTGTCCCCTGTAACCCCGCCTTTGCACCATCCCTGGTCCCTCTATCCATTGGCCCTCAGACCTGATGCTCCTCCTCCCTTATCCCATATAAAACCCTGGATCTGCCTTTGTTCTTTGTTTCTGGACTCTTCAGTATGCAGGTGCAATAAGCTACCACTGGAACTCTACACAAAGAACCCCTCCTGCCTGCTTTTTCCACTGACCTGCAAGATACCATCTGGTGATGTGAGCATCTGGTGCTGGCTGGGCTATCCCTTCCTAGAGGAGATGGTCTTGGGAAGGCTGTGGCTTCAGCAGCTTCTGCTGCACCGCCGCAACCTACTGCTCATCAGTCTGGGGAGAAAACCATACAGAGTGAACAAATTTGTAGTCTGATGCTAAATTCCAACTATTTTCAACTGCCAGAGCAACCAAACTGCTTCAATTTAATTAAATTTTGGATTTAATTATATTTGGGATATAAGAGTATGAGAAGGTCCAAGTCCCGTGAGGAAGCTGACCAACGACTCATCAATCTGGGAAGAAAACCATAAAAATTGGTAACATTTGGGTCTGATGGGAAATTCCAATTCTGTTTTCAGCAGCCAGAGCACCCCAATTATGATGATTTAATTACATTTCAGATTCAACCATTAGTTAATGCAATGAAGTTTGGGTTTAGTTTGGGATGAGGTGGAGAATGCAGTGAAAAGATAAAGGACCACTTCCCAAACTCATCATGATTTTTCCAGGGTGTTCTTTGCTGATGCTGATGGTTTTGTTGTAGACTTTGTCACCACAGTGATGGACGACATGAGGTTGTGACTCCAGTGGCCATTCTGCACCAACACCTGGAATCCCACCAAATATTGGGTGTCCTCATACAACCCTACCAACAGGTAAGACACACATCCCCTGGAAAATGAACCTTCTTTCATCAAAGATCTGATAGGGGGTGGCTCCAACAGCAGTGCAGACCCCAAAAATTTTGGGATAACAATCCTGGATCCCCTTCTCCACCTGGCATCCCTCCTCAGTGCCACAACCAGAATTCCGGCACACTGCCTGCCGCTGCTCCGCGTCACACACACAGCCTTGGGTACAAGTGAGGTCACCTCAACATTCCTCGCCAAGGCCATAGACGAGACCCCAAAAGACACAGCCACATTCAGAGGGGGCAGTTCAGGTGTTGGCATCAAGGACAAGGCCCTCGTGGCACACACAGATGCCCACGCAGGTGGTGACAGCGGCACAGCTGGATGGCACAGCGGGAATGTTGCAGGTAGGGAGGCAGGCGAGGCTGCAGGTGCTGTAGGTGCTGTTGGGCGGGCAAGTGAGCGCTGAACAGGGAGGGAGACAGCGGTCAGGGTGGGGTGGCACATAGTGGGACAGACTTCTTTGACTGTACAGATACCCTGGAGTCTCCATGGATTTTATGGAGCCTCCATTGATTTTCTGAAGTCTCCATAGACTTCCTGGACGCTCTACCTGGACTTTCTGGAGTCACTGCAGATTTCCTGGACTTCCTGCTCAGACTTTCTAGAGACTCCATGGACTTTGTGGACTTTCTATATGGACTTCCTGGAATCTCCTTGAACTTCCATGGATTTCCTGCTTGGATCTGCTGCCATAGCCCTTCCCAGCCCATGATCCCATGGATCTTTAGTCCCACATTAATTAGGCTCCGCCCACCCCAAGGAGTATTTTCACCCAACCATCCTCTACTCACGACATCCCGCTGCTTCCTCCAATCAGAAACATTGATCGATCCCCTCCTCCTGGCAGTCATCAGCACAGATCTCGAAGGCACGGCACAGTGCATCACGATGCCCTTCACCGGCACACAGGTCGTAGATACAGTTCTTCATGTTCATATTGGGACTGATAGTGTCATGGCATGACCAGAATGGCCCAGAATGTCGGGACAACTTCCCACGCCAGGTCTCTGCCTTGTATGTCACCGCCTGGCTCCATCCGCACAGCTCACACTCCCCATCGCGGGTGTCCTGGCAGCGGCCACTCTCACTGGTCACCTTCCAGCTCCGCCCAAACTCCACAATATCCCACGCCTGTTTACCATCAGAAGGGAGAGCATCATCCCAGAGGTCCCTGTTGTTCCTGCATGTTCCACAGACTTTTCCAGAAAGAGCAGCCAGAAGTTTGATCACTACATGATCACCTCAGTTGTAGAGTACCTTCAGCTTGAAATTTGATTGGATCAACATGGATTGGTAGACGTGGATCTTCCCATGGGAGAGGGACATGGGGAGGCGTGAGTGGTGGCTGCTCACCTGGAGGACAACAATCATCAAAATGACCAAAATCCACCAAAATCGGGCCACACATGGGGTCTAAGAAGATTTGAGGTGTCTTCATACAAGGGTTGCCTACACACCAGCAAATCCTGGAATTATTTAGGAAAAGACCCTCTAGATCATTGCTAAATATGTAATTGCAGCAAAATCTTTTAAAAATTACTTGATTCTTGCTTACCCTTATGTCCTAGGGTGACTTTATGATGCTTATATCCCCAATCATGTGTTCTGTTTATGGATATTCTATTCTGTGCCTTCAAAACTGGCTCTCAGAGCAAAGGCGGGGAGAAGAAGCACAGAGTTTTTGTTAATAGCCTCACTCACTCCTCCACATTCGGCTGGACTGTTGATGTCTGGGCATGGATGGGGCAGAACACTGCACTCCTTTTGCTCCTTTTGCTTTTTAGTTAGTTAGTTTAGCTAGCTGAGGCAATCCGAGCTTTCCATGGACTGTTTTTCTTTCCTTCTTCTTGGAACCATTTGAACCTGCTCCAGACCGGCACCCAGGGAAACACCGAGAACATTTTGCAGCCTGCCAGGGCCCACTCTGCAGCCTTTCCCAGCGCCAAAGGAACTGATAACAGAGTGACCACCCACTGGAGAGACGTTCTGAATTTGTCACCTCTTCAGAGCAGCGAATGAGTTCTGTCATCCGGTATTGTTCATTTTCTGTGCTGGGGAGTGCTTTGCCTGTTAAATAAACAGTTTCTTCCCACTTCTCTCTGAGGAATCCTTCCTGAACAGGTTGGGGGGAGGGGCTGTGTGGGTTTGCTTTGTCAGGGGCCCCCTTTGGAGGTTTTCTCCCAAATTTGCCCTAAACCAGGACACCTCACTATCCCATTCTCTGACAGGACTGTGGTGACCGTGATGTTGTCTATCTGACTGGTGATGGAGCTGGTGGAGAAAACTTTGGAGTTCTCCTTTTCCTCCTTTTGGACCTCAACAGAGAAGGCAGGAAGGGTAGGATCAGGATTGCAGATGGTGGTCAAGGTGTAGGCACATGTTGCCATGAAATCAAATGTTTTTCTATCAAAACTGTGGTAGTGTGGCCCGCCAGCGAGCCAACAGATGGAGAAAGTCTCCTGGATGCACTCCAGTTGTCCATCCACCATCTCACACCTCTCCTCGCACACCAAATCCTCACAGGAGACTGGTGTGAGGACTGAAAAAAAGGGGAAAACCCATGAATGGTCAACTGCACAACACCCAGCCACTGGGGTGACACAATAATGGACTGACTGTACACACTGGTGGCACAGAGCCCCAGGAAGCCATATCCAGTGTGACTCTGGAACCCAAACACCAGGAGCCCAGTGGGCACCCGCAAGTTCTCAGCGCTCTGCATTGCTGCACTCATGGTGATGCTGGCCCAGGAGAAATCTGTGCCAGCAATGGCCTGCCACGCCACAGTGTTGTCTGGCCGATGGTTGAGGGTGGTGGTAGCAGTGGCGGTGGTGGGTGCAACAAGAATGGCATGGTTGTATTGGCTGGGTGTAGCAGGCACAGGGCCTGCAAGACCTCCTTGGAGGTCAGAAGCCTGAGCTAGGAAATGCCAAGTCACGATGACTCGGGCCTTAGGAACCCCTCTCTTCCGCCTTTCAGACACTTGCTTATCTCTCTGTAAGCCTATAGGTCACTTTCCCCTGACCCTTTCTATTGGACAATTTCCAAAACCCCTGTAGGGTATAAAAACCCCTAATTCTGCCTGGTTTGCCAGAAGAGCTGTCACAGAGAACCTTCGTGGGACACCGTAATAAAGAATCCTGCGGAACCTTATACAGCGCTTCTCCTCTCTCTCCCTGTGTCTGCTGCCACGGCCACAAGCAAGCCAAAAGAGCTGATAATCACTAAGAGCTGAAATCACTTGAGCTTGCTTGGCTGCCTGCAGCTAGGAACGGCTTGGGAGATCGGACCAAGTCTGAGCCTCCGCTGAGACTATCCTGGCCTCGGCAGTGCACAGCCCGGCTGGAACCTACTGGGATAGCTGGGCACATTGCTGAAGCAGAACGCGGTGCATTGGGCAGTGACAGGTGGGACAACAAGGAGGAAGGCATCTGACAAAACGACCCACTGCAGAAAAACACCACCTGCACTGCCACCACTGCACTGATGTACAGGTGGGAGTTATGGTTCACCACAAACGCCTGCACCTCCCCTGCCGCCATGGCCACAGTGGCATTCCCACTCCCAGTGTTGTAGGTGATGGTGCTGTCTTCAAACATAAACGAAGTCAACCTCTGCCTGCAGTGGTTGGGTGGCATCACGTAGCTCCTCCCCCACACTGTCATTGGGAGGAGCTGCTCCTCCACAAAGTCAAAGCCAGCAGATGCCGTGACACAGGTGTGGCCACTGAGGACGGCCACAGGGGTGTCGGCCACCACAGCCGTGCCAGTGAAGTCCTGGCTGCTCTGGAGCTGCGGGCTGTGGCAGGGCTGCAGGAACAGGCGGAGCACGGCACCAGGGATGTAGGTGGCCCCTGCACAGTGGAAAGTGGTGGTGGTGGTGATGCTGATAGCGATGGTGGTGGTGCCAGTGGCCCCAGAAGCTCAGTCAGGCCCTAAGTGTAGTTCTCAAGCAGTGTCACCAGACAGTATCTGGTGCCCAGGCTCTCCATAGGCAGGAGGGCAGCGGTACCCACAGTGCAGCCCTTGGTGCTGGCAGACGTCACAGCGATGTCAGCACTGGCCTGGAGCACCAAGGTTTCATGGGAATTGTGGCTTCCAAGGAGTTCCAGGTTAGCAGGGAGGGCAAGGGCACAGTGACGTCTGGCCTCGGGGCGATGCTCTGGGTGACAGAGCCGCCGCAGACCGCCGCTGACACCTGGGTGTCAGCAGAGCCACAGGAGGCGAGCAGCAGCTGCAGGTACGCGCTGCAGGACTCTTTGTCCTTCTGTGGGAACATGGACAGGAACGCCCGGTCCCGGAGGCTGGCACTGGAGAGCGCTGGAAAAACAGGGGAGAAAGGGGGCCTTGGTTAATTTTTATATTAACCAAGGGGGTTATATAAAAGGGGCTTTTATATTTTTATATCAATTGCATATGTGTTTATATATAAATTTTCCTATTCTGCAGTAGGAATTGTACTGAAATGACATTAAAGATACGACTGCAGTATCCAATTTATAGAGTCTATTTTTATATATAATCATAATAGAAATAGTATTTACAGTTTGTTTTGTTAATAAGCAACATTTCTATTCTATTAGCAAATTATTAAAATATATCAATGTGTTAATAACATGAAATAAGGTTGTATTATTAACTAATATTATTTATATAAAATACTATTCCTTAAGACGACAATATTACTAGATATTTATATTATTATACCCTGTGTTCATGATATATTAATGGCATTCTCTAATATACTTTAGTATATTACTACTTATTAGCACATTGATAAAATATTAATAACATAGGGCTCATATTTCAGTAAAAATATGTCAATTACATTTTAGCCTGTTACTATTTTAGGCTGTTATATAACTAAGTTATATAATGGATAACAAGTATTACTATACTTGTTATCCATTATATAACTTAGTTATATCATTTTCTATGTTATTATTATAGAGATTATTAATTATAACACTTTGATATACAATACTTACATTTAAATACAAAGTAGTATTTTTTCTATTATTTTGCACTTAATTGTGATAGAAATATCAGCAAAGATTTAATCCAAATCAAATATATATATAAAATATCTAGAGATATATAAAAGGAAAAGCAAACAAAAAATATTTTTAAAGGATCAAAAATATTTTCAGAGATTTTTTTAATGCTATAAAACAACAAAATAGCCATTTTTTTCCCTTTGAGATTATTAATTATAACACTTTGATATAGAATACTTACATTTAAATACAAAGTAGTATTTTTTTCTATTATTTTGCACTTAATTGTGATAGAAATATCAGCAAAGATTTAATCCAAATCCATAAATATTAAAAATAATTAAAGTAATATAATAATAAATGCTGTGGCTATTGAACTTATTTCAGTATTAATCATAGTAGAAAATAAATTTACATGTTATCTTTATAATTATATACAACAGTAGATGATTTATATTTTCTCTATAAAATTATACAGATAATGATTTTAAATAATTTTATTTCTTGTTTTCATAGAAACGGTTTGGGAAAAAATGGGAAAAATCAATCAAAAATAAGCAGTAAGGAGCAAAATTACAAAGATAGAGAGAATATTAGAGACCAGAATAGAATTAATATACCATTATATTATACTATATTGCAGTAGAATCTATTATATGTAATTATATAATGTTATATGTAATATAATAGTTATGAGAGTGGATATTACCTTGTAACACAAAATAGAATTATATATATAATTATGTTATTAAATATAATGTCCATAAATGGCATAGTTATAATAAATTATAATACAATAACATAATGTCATACATATATTATGCAACACTGTCATATTACACTGTAAAATATTCTTTAATTGCATTATATCATTATATTTATAGCAATTTATATCTATTATAGTTTACAATTATCTCTTAATAACTGTAGTAATATATAATAACAATATATCATATGCTGTATTAATAAACGCACTAATATATGAATTGAAAATAAAAAAAAAAAAAAAAAAAAAAAACACCACCCAAAAAGTAAAATAAAAAGCCAGGACAAAGTGCACTTTTTTTTCTGTAGAAAGTGAGGAAAAAGGGAATTTTTCCATGAAAATTAATGAGGCATTAATGAAAAAATAAGATTATAAAGCTTCAAAATGGATTTTTTGGTTAAAAAAAAATATCTGCAGATGAGAGCTTGTTGGAAAAAAAATGCAAAATGAGGGAAGAATGGAATTTTCGGGCAAAAACAAGCCCAGGAATTCAGGATTTCATCTTCTGTGCTAAAAAGCCTGGAAATAAGTACAAAATCCAGGAAATCTGGGGATTTTTCGTGGAAAAATAGGGGTTTTTCACACCACAGAAGGGAAGGAGGAGCCACCAGATCCCATCTTGTGCCACCCCTGAGAAAAACACCGAAAATCACTAAAAACTGTTATTTTATGGGAAAAATCTTTGTGAGCCCTGGGGTGTCTCCAGAAGCCTCAAATAACCCCAAAATTACCACAAAATGCCTTTTAATACCCCAAAATGCCTTTTTTCTCCCCACTGAAACCTCTTGGAGCTTATTTTGGCCCCCAAATCCACCCCAAACATTCCAAACTCTAAACATTTTGTCCAAAATTCCCCAAGTTTGCATCAAAATGGTTTTTCTTCTGAAATTCTCCCCCTTTGGGTCAACATATATTTCCCCCAATCCCTTTTGGTCAAAATGGAATTAAACAGGGATTAAACATCCCTCCCCCCATCTTTCCCCCCACCTTGAGGCCACACCAGTCTCCATCTCTATCAGATTCACTCCAAAACCAGATTAATTTTAACTAAAATCACCTAGATTCATGTCAAAATGGGGTTAAAATGCTGACACAGCACTCCCACCAACCCCTGCCCTTGATGCCACCTCAGTACCCCATTTCCACCAAATCCAAACTAAAACTTCATGGAAAGGATGAATTTTTCCCCACACCCCCACCAGTTTCAGTCAAAATTGGTATTTTTTTGCCCTGTTTTTTGCCCCCAGACTCAGATCAAAATGGGGCTCAACATCCAGGAAAACCCTTCACTCACCTTGTCCCACACAAACCCTCCCAAATACTAAATTTGGCCTCAAAGGGGGGAAGAAAAAACCCACCAAACTTTGGGCATGATGAGGGCAGAAAAATTCTGAAATTTGGGAGAAACGTGCACAAAAAGGGCAAATCCCTGAGATGTGGGGGGAAATGGGCAAAAAAAAAATTTAAATGGGGGGGGGGAAGTGTTAAAACCCAATTTTTTGGAAGAAAAAAGGTTAAAATTATGAAACATGAGGGGAAAAGGGGGAAAAAGACATTAAACTGGGGAAGGGAAAGGGTAAAAAAATGTGAAATTTGGGCAGACAAAATCCTCAATTTCTGCCCCTCACCAAACAATAAGGAAAACCAGGAATAAATAGGGAATGAAGCCTCCCCACTCTTCCCCAATCACTGGTCCCTTGGCTCTTGAATTCCTGGGCCCCTGCAGACACAAAGTGTTTGTCCCAAAGTCACTCCTTTTATACCCAAATTAAAAATATCCAAGGCACAGCAAACCATGCAGATTTGGGCAGATTCAGCAGAATTTCACAATGGGGGCGGGGGGAGGGGGACAGGGAGGCATGACCCACAGTTCCAGGGAATTTGGGAGCTGGCAGCTGGATCCTGTCACGGATGGGAAATTATGGGAATGGAACCCACAGGACATCTCGACAGATGTGAGTGACAGGGATGTTGTGACAGGTGTGGGACCCACAGCAATCATCCCAAATTCCCTGAACTCCCAGAACCTCTGGGAGTATCACCCGTGGTAGCCTCTGGCCCCGTGACACCAGTGAAAGGACAGACCAAATCCAGGTGGTTTTTACCCAAAACTAATGACCCAAGTCGCAGCAGGAAATTCCAGAAAATGGGAAATTCTGGCCCAAATGACTGAAAAAGCTGAAGAAAAACAGCTAGACCCAGGAGAGATGACAGCAAACAGGGAATTAAGGGCTTTTGCCTTAAAATGAAGACATAAAAATGGAGAAACCCTGAACCCCACAGAGATCCTCAAAACTGTCCAGAAACAGAGACACCACCCCCAAAGCCATCCAGGGACCCCCAAAACCACATGGGGATCCCCAAAAACTACCCAGGCATCCCCTCAGCCCTCTGAACCTCCCAAACCACAAGGTCCCTGTGGGAAGATGGGGGTCCCTGGAAGGGTTTTGGGGCTCCTGATAAATTACACAAAGAAGAGAAATTTTCAGTTGCCCTGAAGGAGCTGGAAGGAGCTTAAAGACTAACTGGCAAAAACAGCTGAAAGATGTAAAGGTATGCACAGAGGATCACAAGCACAGCTGGAGCCAGTGGACACACAGGTAATGAGGAATGTAGTGGGGTTTTTGTCAAGTTATGTGACTTGACATGCTCAAGGAAAACGTTCAAGGAAAGGTCACGTGTACTATGGAAGCACTGAGTGAATATACCACCAAAGACCTGTTTGTGGTCCCTCCAGGACCATAGCCTGCGGCAAAGTTTCACTGCACACATCAGATTAAAGGAGAAATCCTTCAGTGTGTCCCGTGCAGTTAGAGAACGCCGGCTTTCCAATGCTTCAAATTGTGTTAGAAAGTTTATTTGCCAGCCAATTTTGCTATCATTCCCTTGGACGAGCTTACGGACCTAAGGGGAGCTGAGAGAGTCCTGTCGGGATTTGGGAGGGTCTGGAGTTCCTGGGGAGACTTGGGGGGTCCACGGGGGAGACCGGGGGTCTCTGTCAGCGGGATCCCAGCTCTCTGCCACTTTACCCACCCCGAGAGCCTCCCAAACCATATGGGGGCCCCCTGACCGTCCCGGACCGCCAAGTCCCTTCCAGGACGCCCAGAACCACACCAGCCTCCCTCCACCCCAAACCTTTCCCTGGGCATCCCAAATAACCTCTCTGAGACCCTCAAAACCACCCCAGTGACCCCCAGAAATCCTGAGGCATCTCTCAGCGTCCCCAGAGCCCCAAACCCCTCCAGGGACCCCCATTTATGCTCCAGGGCCCCTTCAGTGCCCCAGAACCCCAAACCCCTCCAGGGACCCCCATTTATGCTCCAGGGCTCCCTCAGTGCCCCAGAGCCCCAAACCCCCCGCGGACCCCCAGAGCGCTCCCGCCGACCCTTCCCCTCCCCCGCCGCGCTCGGCGCCGCCGCTTCCCGCCTTCCCCCTCCCCCGCCTCCCATTGGCCGTAGCGCCCGCCCGTCCCAGCCCTGAACCAATCAGCGCCCGAGCTCGGAGCGCGGGGGCGAAACCAAAAGAGAGCGCGGGCGATGGAACGGGTGAGGCCTGAGGGGTCCGGAGGGGACCGAGGCGGGGATTTGGGGATGCCGGAGGGGAATCTGAGGGCTCGGGAGGGCCCCGCGTCACTTCCCGCATACCTCCTGCAGAGGCTCAGCCTGGAGCAGCGAACGGAGCGTCTGGTGCAAAGAAGGTGGGAGAGCAGCCCGGCCTCCAGTGCCCCTCGGGATCCCCAAGTGCCCCCTGCAGGCCCCAGTCGGCTCCCCGTTCTCTCAGTGTTGTCCCGGACTCCAAATGCTCCCCAGACCCCCAAATGCTGCCCCTGGCCCCTGAGTGCCTGCTAATTCCCTCCCTTGCCCCATTGTTCCCCAGGAGCACCTCGGGGACCCCCAGCTATCCCACCCGATCCCGGCTGGTGACGTCCCGGACCCCCCATTCTGCCCATAAGTGCGTCCCGCAGCCCCTCAAATTCCTCCGGAGACCACCAGCCCCGCGGGGTCAGTGCAGGGTCAGCATTTCGGGGGTCCTCGCCCCTCCCCAACCCTCTCCTTCCCCCACCAGCCAGGCCCTGCTCAGGCCCCGCCCCCGCGCGCCGGAGAGGGCGAAGCCTCTGCTTGGCTCCGCCCCCTGCAGCTCCACCCTCGATGACCCCCTCGTCCAATGGCGCTTGAGGCGGTGCCGAGGGGAGGAGCCAGCGCTGGACGCGCCCCCGGTGGGCAGGGCCCTGGGGGGCTCTGCTGCTCCCCGGGGTTCCCTGCAGGGACTGCCATCGGGGAGGTCACGTGATTTCACCGGGGCCCAGCAGGAGGCAGTGCCCTGTGAGTCACGTGACCCGCCTGAGGCCCTATGGCCAATCGGGAGACGCTTCTGCAGGCACCAGGGGGCTCCTTCACCCCAGGCTGTCTCCCAGGAACCCTCGTGGCGGGATCCATGTTGGAGGCCACATGACTCCCACACGACCCTCCGGCCAATGAGGAACAGCTCTCTGGAAACCCTGCAGGGGGCACTGTACTCACAGTCACGTGACTCGCGCCATGCCCCTAGGCAAATCAGCAGCAGCTGCTGTGCACCTCTGCACCAGGGAGCACCACCCTGTGGGAAGCAAGAGTCCCATGAGCCTTTGCTGCAGGAGCCGTTTTGGGAGTCACATGACTGCCGTGGGGCTCTGTGGTGTGCACCATATTGGAAGTCATGTGACTCAAAGGATGCCCTGCGGCCTGCAAGGGAGGCACTTCCTGAGCCCCTGCGCCAGGGAGGGTCAGGCTTGAGGTCACGTGACCCCCGTGAGGCCCCACAGCCGATCAGGAGCAGCGCACGTGATGCCCATCAGGGGGCGCCATGGCAGCAGCCACTGGGTGAGGCACCGGAGGAGCACTTGAGGGTCATGGGGCTCGCTTGAGGGTCACGGGGCTCACTTGAGGGTCACAGGGCTCGCTTGAGGGTCACGGCCATCGCTTCTGGGTCACGGGGGTCACTTGTCGGCCAGGGAGTCACTCGAAGGCTGGGGGCTATTGAGGGTCATGAGGCACCTTTGTGGGTCAGAGGGGTCACTGGTGGGCCTGGACGTGCCCTTTTGGGCCAGTGGGTCACTGGTGGGGCTAGAGGTGCCCCTGTGGGCTAAGGTGGTCATTTGTGGGCCAGGGGCGGTCACTCGTGGGGTGAGGGAGCGGTCGTGGGTCAGGGGTCACTTGAGGGGCTGAGGGGGCACTTGTGGCTTGGGGAGACACTTTTGGATCAGGAAGTCCCTTGTGGGGCTGGGAGAAGACTTGTGGGACTGCCACCCCTGTGACATGCAGCCCCCCCAGGCCCTCTTGGGGATCCCCTCCTCTGGATGCTGCGATGCCACCGCCGGGCCCTAAGGGAACGCCTTCGGTACGACATCCCCGCACCCAAATTTCAGGGGCCTGCCCTTGCGTCTCCCGCAGCTCCCCCTAACTCCCCATTTGCTCTCCCTTCCCCCCCTCAGGGCCATCGAGACCCTCCTGGAACGCCCACCTGGCCACCCCCAACCCTTGGTGGGGCCAATAAAGCAATGACATCCCAAAATTGCACCGGGGGGGTGGGGAGACCCCCCAAAACTCCCTCCCTTACCTCCCCCACCTTTGGGATTGCCCCCAATGCCCTCTCCCCCCACATGTCCCCAAGAGCATTTGGGGGGTTCGGGGGCTCAGAAGAGCATTGGTGAGGTGCTGGGTGTCTGTACGGGCTCCATGAGGGTCAGCGGGGTGTTTGGAGGGGCTCTGAGGCTGAGGAAGGGATTTGGGACGTGTACCCAAAGCGCTGGAAGTCGGGAGTGTTTGGGAGGGCACTGCGTGTCTATAGAGCACCTAGAAGAGATCCATGGGATTTTGGGGGGAGACTCTAGGAGTGTTGGGGAAAGATATTGGGGGTCCAGGAAGGGGTTTGGGGGGACCCTTGGGCTTTGGATGGTCTTTAACGGTCCGGGGATCTGTGGGATGTTTTGGGGGCTCAGGACAGCGTTGGAGGGGGTCTGTGGGGACAAGGAAGTCTGTAGGGGCGCCTGGGGGTTTATTGGGCATATCGGGGCGGGGAGCCCCCAAACCCGTGGGAGCGGGGCTCACCTGTCTTCCTCACCTTCACACGGCCGACGTGGCACCGGCGGGTTCTGGTGTCCCTCCGCCCCTCAGGGCGATGGGGGGCGGGGGGGTGGGGGTCATGGGGGGCGTCAGAAGCTCCCCCTGAGCCCCCAAAAATCCCTCCTGCCCCGCCTCCCATTGGCCGCTGGTTCCGCGCCACTTTACTCACTTCCTGGACTACAACTCCCGAAAGGCCGCGGGGCGCCGTGGGACGCCGATAGAGCCGGGACTGCGGTTCCCGTCATGCCGCGCGGCCCGTGGGAGTCCCCTCAGAGCCGGGGCTGTCCCCTGAGGAGCGTCCCGGCTGCTCCCCAAGTGCTTCCCCGAACCCTAAGTGCCCCCGGGGTCCCGTAAGTACCCCAGTTTCCCTCTCCTGACCCTCCAGTGCCCCTCAGGGTCCCGCAGTCCGCCCGCCCCCCGTCCCCTACTTTCCCCCAAAATGCCCCCTCTGTGTCTCCTCGGACCCCCAGGTGCTCCCCACCTGCCTCCCCGACCCCTAAGTGCCCCTCCAGACCCTTGAATGATCCCGCAAGCACCCCCACCTGGCCTCCAAGCGCCCCTCGAGTGTCTCCTGGGAATTGGCGCCATGACGACAATGTAGGGAGAGACCCAGACCCTGACGCAGTATCAGCAACAGTTCAGGCTTTAATTAAAATTTGAATCAAAACTGCAATTGCCGATGTGGGGGATGGACAAGCCCCCCCGCTTTTTCGTGCCACTCCCGTGGTCCCTCTTGGGGCCAGGGAAATTGCAGGAAAAACATTCCTGCATGTTGCGCACATCCAAATTTCATGGGAATCAGGAACAGAGTCTGTGTGGTGAACTTCCCTGTCAGGTGCAGATAAATCCTCTCAGATGAAGAAGAGGTTGAGAGGACTTTGGGGACCTGGAGAATACACTCCTGTAGCTCCCCCCCAAAACCCCAGAGACCCCCTCCATCCCCTACAGAGTCCCCAGTAGATCCCAAGTACCCTTAGAGTCCCCTCAAAATGCTTCATAGATCTCCCCCCCCCGAACACCCTGTAAGCCCTCAGGACCCTCCCAAACCTCCTGAGGCTCTCTAAAATAACCCATAGATCTGCCCACTCTCCCACACCCCCAAAAGGGGCTACTCCAGGTGGCCACAACTAGGCATGGACTGCCTGAGCCACTTTTTGGGCTGATATGTATGTAGGTATAAATCTAATAGAGATATAAAATATAATATAGAAAGGGGCCTCCAGGAGAGCTGGGGAGGGTCTTTGTCAGGGGACAGGATGGAGGCTGAGGGTTTTCACCTGCCAGAGGGCAGGGTTAGATGGGATACTGGGGAGAAATTCCTCCCCGTGAGGGTGGTGAGACCCTGGCACAGGCTGTCCAGAGAAGCTGCAGCTGCTCCATCCCTGGCAGTCTCCAGGGCCAGGTTGGATGGGGCTTGGAGCAACCTGGGAGAGTGGAAGCTGCCCCTGCCCACGGCAGGGGGTGCATCGAGATGACCTTTGAAGTCCCTTCCAACCCAAACCAGCCTAGGATTCCAAAAGTGGGGGAGGGTTGGGATGGGCGACCTTGGCTGACCCCAGGTGCTCCCCCAGGCTGCTCCATCACTCACACCTCAGAGAGAGACAGCAAGAGAAAACCTGATGAGAAAGCTCCTGGGGAAGATGTGTTGGGGGGGTGTGAGTCCCTCAGGAACTGCTCCAGGTCCCTTTCCGTGGGCTGAATCCCTCAGGTGGAGGCACCTGGGGCATGATTCCTACCCAATACACATCCATTTTTGGGCAGGCTGCTCCATCACTCACACCTCAGAGAGAGACAGCAAGAGAAAACCTGATGAGAAAGCTCCTGGGGAAGATGTGTTGGGGGGGTGTGAGTCCCTCAGGAACTGCTCCAGGTCCCTTTCCGTGGGCTGAATCCCTCAGGTGGAGGCATTTCGGACATGGAGGCAACACCTACCTCACTCTGTTCTTCTGCAGGGCTGCGGGGAAGTGTCTGCTCTGGCACCTGCAGCATCTCCTCTCCTGGGGAGCTGCTCAAGGAGGAAGGATAACAGCAGTGAAAGGGCCTTGGGACCAAAGGAGACATCAGCAGAGCAAGAAACATTTCCCAAGCTCTAGCTGGTGTCAGGTGAACTCAAACGGGATATTAGGTGGGTTTGGTTGAACCAGAAAGTGAATTTAAGAATAAATTGTTGATTTACACCTGTGTCAGGGAATTCTCTGGAACATGGATTTGCTGCTTTAAAATATTTTACTTTCCATAATTTGTCTGGGCTCTGTTACACAAGAGGTCAGTGTTTCACCTTTTATAAATAAAGAGATTAGGATGATGCTACTTACTAATCTCCCTTGCAGCACATCTGCAAGGCAGATACTTTGCTCTCAAGACTTTAACTTGTGTGGAATTTGCCCTTCCCTTGTTCATAATTTTCCTTTGTTGGGCTATTCCCAGTGAACATCACCAAATCCCACATGACCAGAGTCTTGACTGCACCAAAACGAAATTAAACTGTGAATGTTATTTTTCTCAAGGATTTTAAGGTTTATAAATCCCCTGTTCTGGAATGATATGAGGTGTGGCAGGCAAGACCTAAATGGTTTAGAGATAAAATCAGCATTTTTCATATGTTTTTTATGAAAAATAAAATATTTTCACTCAGACATAGCGGGGTCTCCCTGCTGCTGCAGGGTTTGGGGAGGGAATTTGGGGACATCCAGCAGGTCTTGACACCTAATTTTTCTTTAAGTGAGGATTCTGAAATGGCAAAGGAAAAGGATCAGGAAATTTTAGAAGCTGAGGAAGACTACCCAAAATGTGGTTGCTGAGGCTCTTGCCTGTGTTTTGGGCAGTGAAATAATAGTTGCGGTTGGAAGGGCCTCTGGAGATCAACCAAGAAAATGTCCTGGCACAATCTCCTCACCTCAGAATGTTTGGGGTTTGGTAGGTGAACCCTAATTCGTGTCCCTGAAGGGATGGATGGAGTTCTCTCCAGATTTGAGTTTGAAGGAAACAGAACAGTGAGTGTTGCATTGCTCTCAGCTGGTTTTTTGTCTCTCAGCCCTGTGGGATGTGGCAGGACAGGTGAGGTTCCGCCCCGCCCACCTCTCCCACCTGCTGAGTCCATCTGAAGGGCTGCCGAGGGAGCCTGGACCCACTTCACTCCCTCATCCATCCAGGAACTGTCCTGTCATGGAAGGCAGGCAGATCGGTTCTGTGACGTAATTTTATGGAGTCCAGTGGAGAACCTTCTCCCTGCCTTCCTCCTGGTTTATCTCATGCACCTCTTCCTGCTTTATTCTCTGTTGCTCTGTCCTGCTCCCTGCGCTGTGAGTGTCAGGCGGGGGAGGAAATTGGCAGGAGACAAAGACCACTCACCCCGATGTTCAGGTGGCAACAGAGAGCTTTTATTTCCCAAGGCCTTGCTTATAAAGGGCATTTGCAAAACTCGGTCTGTATGCTTTCATAGGTCAGAACTCTATGCCCCTTCAGGTCCTGGCCAGTGAAATGCCTGCAGCCCTAAGAGAGATGTGACTGGGCGAGGCTCCTGTCAGTCACACCAGGGGCTGGTTGGTTTGTCTGTCACAAACCAGGTAATATAGAGTAACACTGTGCCATCATTCATCCCTGTGCCATCTCCCCTCTCTGTATCCCTCTGTCCTGCTCCCTGTGCTGTCATTCCTCTCTGTAACTGGCGGAACTTTCTTTCCCCCAATTGTCCATATGCCATCATCACTTGTGAGTTGCTCCTGCTTTCACAGAATCAGAAAATCAGTTTGGTTGGAAGGGACCAGTGAATCATCTGGTCCAACTCTCCTGCTCAGGCAGGATCATCCTGAGGCACATGGCACAAGATAGTGTCCAGAACTACAGTCCCCTGTAGATCCCGATGAGGTTCAGTGTACACAAACCATGTGGTGGAAGTTCCTACTGAGGTGCCATCACCATATACCAACTCATTGGCAGGGATGTCATGGAAAGGAGAACAAAGAGTGAATAATTTGGTTACCAGACTCTGGCAATATGAAGAAAGTATGTTTTTCACCCTACGGGCCTGTATCTTATCTGTGGAAAAGGCCTCCAGCAACTGAAAGAAATGATCCATGCCTCACTAGTACAGACCAGAGTCTGTAGGGAACAAGTGCCCCCTGCTCAAGGGAGAGAGGCACAACACAAGGTAACCTGTGGTTTTACCTGTGTGACCATGGTGAAGACATACGAAAGTGGGATGGAAAACCCACCTCTGCCTTGGCAGCACAGGTATGTGAGTTGAGAGGAAAAATTAACCACCACAGAAAACTCTTCAAGGAAAAATGCCACTCAGTTTCCACTGGGCAAGTCCTCAGGCAGAACTGAAGGACTGATGTTACTTCTGACCCTTTGGAAGGGGCCTCCAGGTCTTACTTACAAGAAGCGAGCAACAAGTACCATGAGCAGAGATAGAGGGGCCCTGGGTCCAGCCGGATGTGGGAAAAGGACAGTGGGGTCTGTTGGACTGTGTGAATCCATGGCCTGGCACAGCAGAGCCACAGGAACAGAATGTACTCCGATGCCATCATGCAGGGGCAGAATCCATCTCTGTTTCTGGGATGACAGGGGATCCCAGCAGGGACTATACTGGAAGCTGAAGTGCTCCTGACTGGGCATGAGTGGCAGAAAACTACCATTGTCACTGGCCTAGAGGCTCTGTGTATCCTTGGCCCAGATCACCTCAGGAGAGGTATTTCAAGGACCCAAAAGAACACCACTGAGCTTTGGGAGAGCTGCTGTGGAGACAGAAGAAATTCAGACAGCTGAATCCCTTGCTTGGTCTTTCAGAGGATCCTTCTGCTGTGGGACTGCTGAGGTACTTGAAGAACAGCAGGTACTGATGGCCAGTGTCCCGTTGGCAATATGGCACCAACTGGGACTTCAGGACCCTGTCCATGAGCTGATCCGTGAACTAGAGAGCTGGGCATGCTCAGCAAGAATCGCTCAGCCCTCAATAGCTCCACGTGGCGCCTGCCTGAGTCCCATGGAGAATGGACACTGACAGTGGACTGTCATGGCCTGAATGAAGTCACACCATGACTGAGTGCTGCCTGCTGGACATGTTGGAATTCAGTATGTTCTGGAGTCCAAAGCAGCAAAATGGTGCTGCCATAGACATTGCCAATGCATTCTTCTCCATTCCTCTGTCAGCAGATTCCCAGAGCTGGGGTCCCTCTTTGGACCCCGGCCCTGAAGCTGCCCCAAATCGTGCCTTGGCCTCCCTGTGGCCCCCTGCCCACACAGGTGAGCTTCATGACCACCTTGCTTAGTGCCACTGTCAGCTCCAGAGGGGCCCTGGGGGTCCCTGGTGAGGGGGGAGCAAGGGCTGATGATGGAGCTCTGTGCCCAGTTACATGGGGGGGATATCCCACTTACAGGGGTGTCTCAGTCTTACGGGAAGGGGGGTGTCCAGTCCAATGATGGGTCCCTCAATCCCATGGGAGGAGGGGTTGTGTGTCCCAATCACATGGGGAAGGTCTCAGTTCCAGGAAGGCAAATCAGTTACATGTGAAGGTCTCAAGGCCATTAATGGGGATGGGGCCCATGGGAGGAGGGGTTGTGTGTCCCAATCACATGGGGAAGGTCTCAGTTCCAGGAAGGCAAATCAGTTACATGTGAAGGTCTCAAGGCCATTAATGGGGATGGGG